TTAACTTAAGTTGAAGGCTGTAAATAACCAACCCTAAGATTATACAGAGGGAGGAAAGGAAAGCAGGTTTAAATTTTGATAAAGAGAGTAAAAAAGTAGAAAAGAGTCAAAAAGTAAAAAAGAGAGTCAAAAAGAAAATGAGATGCGATCCATTGCCTGATTAATTTCTTTTCCATTGAGACATCCTGGTAGGAAAACGAGGCAAATCTGTGTTTCAGACCTAGCTGCTTCGGATGTGTTTTGCCAGTGTCAGAGATAAGGAGAACAGAGGTGGTGTTTACACTATGCTACAGAGAGGGTTGCCAAGCTTGTGGTAGCCTAACCAGGTTAGTTATGTCTTTTCACATAACGTTGTATGACTGCAGCAGTGCAGATCTAGAAGCACAGCTGCTGTGTCAGGACAATGGTGAAACGTAGCCACTGTAGCTTAACAGTGCAGAGCACTGTCAGGCATTGAACCAGCTGTGTGTATCCTGACTACTATCTCACCTAGATAATTAAATGAAAGGCTACAGTCAATGCAAGAGAGATAAGCTGTATAAGCTCATGAGATGGAAGAAATCCTTGCTGAGTGGCATGTGATGTAGTAACAGGTGGATCTTCAGTTAAGCTTCCCTTCTTCCACTTCTTGTCTGAAGGAGGAGGAATGGTAGAAAATGTGGCATAAAAAATGTCTACCTCACTGTCCTCACTCATCTTGTACTGGTGCCTGCTGGAAAGTGTTAATCTAGCTATAGAAAAATACAGTATGCTGACTGTAGCAATGTAAGAGTGGTGAAATATGCTGTGAATAGTGTTAAAACATAACTATGAATGGAAGAGTTGGATGGATTGCTGTTTAGCAATTGCAGGTACCAGTGGAAAGGTACAAAAATGGCATTATCAAAGCTTGAGAAAAGAGAATGGTGTAGGCAAACTCATGGATAGATGTTGGACTCGATCCTTACGGGTCCCTTCCAACTCAGGATATTCTATAATTCTATTCGATGAGTTTGATGGAAAAGAGTCTTTACATGACTAGTTTCATCCTGTGTCTACAGACTTTTTTTGTGGTTTAGTAACTGTCTTGGAAAAACAAACACCCCAATACTGCAGACATCCACTGGGTTGCCTGGCTCCTTCAGCAAGTTATGAGATCTATTGGTGCTGTGATGAGAAGCAAGGATATAGTCTGTGGGAACTGCGGGGAAGTAATTCATATGAAATGCACACATACCATGAAACTGCAAGTCTGTTGGGAAGATTTTAGAAGTTAGTGCTTCTTCCAGAAATATGATACTTGATGAATTTCTAATTTAGTGTTGTTGAGAACCCTTGAGTTGTTCAGCATATTTTACTATGGCACAATCAACAACAGTGTAATAATGCTGGAGAAGCAAGAAGTTTATTCTCCTTTAATTTAAGGAATGTAACATTTTTTTATATAAAGCAGATGAATGTACTTTATTTATTTAGCATTGTACAACTGATGTCATATTCAAAAATTCACATATATAGAGCCAGTTTAGTCTGGCACTTTTTTATACAATTTTCTTTTGAAGATGCATATTACTGTTCATTAAAGAAAGAGATTAGTGGAAAAGGAAAGCACAAATCATGCCAGGCTGGTCAGTCTTGCTTCTGTACTCTAAGCCAGTTGTGCTTAGCATTCTTGTTTCTACCGAAGTAGCATTATACAACCCCCTGCCGCCACCCCCCCCCCCCCCCCCCCTTTTTTTGTTTCTCTCAGAAAAAGGATGTTTTGAGACCAAAGCCAAGGTGCCTTTGAAAAGACAATGCAATTATGTGGTACATCCATACATGCACAGATGCAATTATCCAAACTGTGGCAGGCTGACACAGTAGCATTGGATACAAATGTGCCTCCTAAAATATGACTTTGCCAGAATGCCTTGGCAGCAGGGACAGGTCCATTCAGCATAAATATTTTTCTCCTGCAGATTACAAAATATAGATTTTAGTGAAGCACAAGTAAGTATAAGATGCTTTTTCAGAAGAATATCAGTAGCATCACTGAAAATCCAAGGATTTCTGAATACTGGGCAATAAGCTGCTCTAGGCATTTCTAGCATGAGACAATGAGAACTTGAGCTGCTGCTCAGAAAGAGGCCTTCATCTTGTGAAGCCTGACCCATGTCCACACCAGCTGCTTTGCAGAAACTTTGTTTTGTTGCAGGAATGAGTCTGAAATGTTTTCAGATTTCATTATGAAATGTCTCAGGTTATTCAGAATTTAGTGCTTCAAAGCTGGGTTTTTACAGGAAAATTAGCCTTCTACAAATTAGCTAATAGCAGTTGTCACAAAATGATTTAAAATTATGCTATGCACTCTTAATGTTATGGAATGGTTTCCAGATATGATGGAGTCATATCTGAGTTGGTCAGCAGCTGCAGTTCTAAATTAACACAAAATTGTACTGTGAGATCTTTTGCTGAAATCATTTGTTATGCCTTTTTTTTTTTTTTTTCTTCCCAGTAGTGGAATGAAAACCACAACCACAACAAAAGTAGCATTTATTTTCTTGTTTATTCTTCCTTATATTGGCTCGCTGGAAGAAAACAGATGGAGACTGTAATAGTGTTCGGAGATGCTTCAGACTAACCCCCTTACAGCATTGAACAAGGTGAGAAGTAGGCAGACATCTGAAAAGCATCGCAGAAGTCAGCAGCAAATGTCAGTTGAGATGTAGACCCCTGTCAGACACTGTCATTCCTGCACTTTCCGAAACACCATGCTCTAAAGGATTTGTTTTATAAATACAGCCAGTCTCCTGCAGTCTGCGATGACTCTTCTGAGATACGATCACCGACTCCCACAGCTGAGTTGAGGCTGCTCTTCGGGAATGCCAGCAGAGGGCAGAAACTTCCAATACATTGGGGATATTTCTTTACTGAATATGTAATGTTATTTTCGACAGGGAGGATTTTAATTGTGCCACAGTCTCTGCTGAGAGGCTCATCCTCCTTTCTTGCTTTGTTGCCTGTAATCCAGGCATCCCAGCCTTTTTTTCACTTTAGTACAAATGTATTACATATTCTGCATCCAGAAATTCCCAAAACCATTCCTTCTTAAAAATAAATAAATAAATATATTCCATGTTAAATAATAATAACAAACAGTGATTTCTACTCTTCTGTCCACAAAAGACAGACAAGAAGACAAGGCTGTGAAATTGTACCACACCAGGGTGTGGCATTTCTGTTGAAGTGTTATCAGTAAGTGCATTGTCAATCAATATTCTGTCACACAGCTTTAAGGGCTTGGACACAATAAGAAGGGAAAGAGAGTATTTAGCTCCTGTACTGCACTTAAGGACTATAAGAAAATACAGAATTTCCTAACCCAACCAAAAGAATGAGATGAGATTGTTATTAACAAACAGATAGAACTCGGAAACAAAAGTTGATTAATTAATCTGGGGTTTTGAATGTGGAAGTTTTAACTCCTTTGCCTGTGGAATAAAGTAATAATAACATGTATATATATATAAAGTATTATTTATGAGGGAACAAAAAGTAGCAAGCCATATGACTGTTGTTTCTATAGTATATTATTCATTATTCAGTATCTCTTGTCAATATGAACTACACCACTAATCACAATATTTTCACAAACAAAAAGTCTGCAAAAGCCTTAAGATTGGAGCCCCTGGTTTCTGTTCCTGCTCTAGCTTCTGGTCTGCTGGAAGACTTTGAATGCGTCTTCGCACCTATACCTCAGTTTCCTCATCTCCCAAATATATATGAGATGATTTTAAAGTGCTTTGAGAGCAACAGATGAAAACCAGGACATAGGAATGAAATACAGTTCTCTCTTCCACAAGTACACTAACAGAAGCTGAAAATAACCCACATTGTCAGAAGAGAAAGTAATGTAAAATCATGAGCACAAGCCAAAATTACATACAATGATTTGCCAGAGGTACTATGCCAGAGATTACATCAGACAAGTAATTTGGATGTTACTGTTACCTCTGCCTCTAGAGAGGTGGACTATGAATCTGGTAGTAGGTGGTGATAAGCGTCTAGCCAGCACAATGGACATTAATGTTTTGTGAATGTCTCAGCTGGGATTTAAAAATTCAGTGTTGTTTTTAATTTTGAAAAACCAATTACTCTTTCTACCAGTGTACCCTAACATCTTAGTGAGAGGTGGCTGAGTAAATAATACAAATGAAGCCCATATTAGATTCTGGATCCGCACAAGTTATTGTGAAAATTATTTTCATATATTCCTGTACACGAACATCACAAAAAAGAAAGGAACTTTTTTGACTCCCAAGAAAGTATCTTTTCCAGATTATTCAGTTCCTTCTCATATACTCAGAATCTCAGATTTTTTTCTCCAGCCTCCATGTGAAGAATGACCAGACACATAAAATGCCAGCCACAGCCACCCACATCTTTCCATATTGTCCCAAACAGCAGAGAACAGATACAGTGCATCTAAAATTAGTGCCACATAGAGTATTTGCCCTTAAGAGCAGTAATGGCTGCCTTATGCGTACATACACTACTGCACTAATGAGGCTGTTCATTACTCACATTACCTGATAAATAGTTTTAATTTTTTTTGAATAAAAAGTTTTGTTTCTCCTTCCAAAACAAAACAAAACAAACAAAAAAAAATCCAAACAAACAAACAAAAAAAACACCCCAAACTTCCTGTTTGCAGGCCCATCTTCAACCAAAGTGTTATCTTTTTCATTATCTGTATAGTCCATGCGTGCAGGAACCATGCTGTTAGCAGAACGAGGCTACATGGAAGACTAAAAAAGAGTATCTTTCCCCCCTCCCCCAGTCTCAGCTTTCTGTACTTTCACTGATGCCATTCACTCAGCTTGGATTTGTTCAGCAGGCTGTAAGGACCCTAGTCCCAGCCCGTTAGGGGTGTCCCACAGGCCACACTCCACCTCATAAACATCTGTTCCCCCTTTTGGCATCCCCCACAAGTGTATCCACAAGCCCAAGCAGTTTTTAGCAGCACCAGAGTGAGACAGAGTCAGTTCAGGCTGGGCCAGGGCAGTCCCCAGCCAGATCCCTCACAGGGCAGGCAGCAAGCCCACGGCTTGCACCGCATCCTTCTCCAAAAGATATGGTGAGAATTGGTGTGCACACGCTTTACAGGGGGTTCTGTCCTTTTTGTGCTGGTACAGAGAGGTATGTGAGTTGTATTAACACAGAAATATTTTGAATGCTGTATAGAATGCCTGAACATCATGTGGAAAATCCATGGAGAGGAAGGCAGATGTTATTAATGATGAAGGAACTATGTAGCTTGCAAGCAGTCATATATCCACTCAAAACATTTTTTCCTAGTGTTTATTAGGAAGTGCAAAGCAGTGTTTGCCCTCATAGTCATCAGGTGATAAAAAACCCTGTGTGGAAGCACTCAGGCACTTTACAGCTCTGGCTGTAGGCTGCTCACCAGAAGCTGGGTACAGCTGGCAAAGGCTGAGTGTTGTATGAACTGCAGGTGAAGCAAAGCTTCAAGCATATCAAGGTGGATGGCTCGTGTAGTTGTTGGCCACCAGTTAACAAAATACTTAAGTTCAAAGCAACAGGAGTGGCTAAAATCATCATCAAGAGAGTAGTTGTTGTTTTCAGGCAATAATTAATTCCTTCATGAGTGTCTGATGCCTTTTAAAATACTGTTTGCTTTTTGTTTGTTTGTTTGTTTGTGGGGGGGACAAAAAGAAACAAATGAACAACAACAAAAACAGGAATTGACACTCATGAAATGCTCAGTCTTCATTTCCATTGTGGGATGAATTTTCAAATGAGCATCTTCTCCTTGACTCTCACACTTAGAATCATTGAATCGTTTAAGCTGGAAAAGACCTTCAAGATCAAGTGCAAACATCAGACTTCCAGTTACTAATTTGCCAAAAACATTGGAATTCAGGTAAAGGAATGCTTCTCCTGTTCTTTTGCATTCTAGTTCTGGAGTTTAAATTGATAATTCTGATTCAGAAAGAGATATTAGTTGCATCTACTGTTAGGTACTTCTGCTGCAACAAAATGACTTGGGTAGGTACCTTCAGGAAGAAGGGTTTCTGAAAGCTATAACAAATTTGAGTTACATTCCATCACTTCACGTGTTAATTTCACCTGTACTATAGTCACAGAATCATAGAATCATTCAGGTTCAAGAGACCTCTAAGATCATCTGGTCCAATCAATAACCCAGCACTGCCAAGGCCACCATTAAACCATGCCCCTAAGCACTACATCTACACAATTTTGAAGACCTCCAGGGATGGTGACTGAACTACTTCCCTGGACAGCCTGTTCCAGTGCTTCACAACCCTTTCATTGAAGAAATTTTTCCTGATATCCAACCTAAAAATTCTCCTGGCACAACTTAAAGCCATTTCCTCTTGTCTTATCAGCTACTGCTTGGGAGAAGAGACTGACCACCACCTTGCTATAGCCTCCTTTAAGGTGAGTGTAAAGCATGATAAGGTCTCCCCTGAGCCTCCTTTTAGTCCATAGGGAACAGATTTAAACAAAGTAGTTACTTTGTGCATGGTTGCATTCTGTGGGTTTCATGCAGAGACTCTGAATGCACCTAAACATGCTACGATTAGGAAAATACTTAATGTTTAGAGGTTCTTTTCTTATAATGATTTTCACTGAGGGTGGCATTTACAGGGTAATTTTGAAGTTCAGCAGGAAAAAAGGGGGAGATTTGATATTAAGTATTTTGTTCCACTTACTCATTGTTAAACTTATTATTCTTTGTCCTATTAATTTTTTTGAGATCTCATTCAAAAACATTTTATGTGAGGCATGATTCTAACTGCTGTGATTATAGGTTGCTTTGGATTGCTGAGCAAAGTGGAACTGTTAACAAGAAAGGTTCTCTTGTGTGGGTGAACTAATGCTGGTGTTTTAGAGCACAGCTTATTCTAATGGAGAAGTGTGAGCAGTGTTAGGGTGCTAGGGGATGATGGTGATACTGAAAACTAGGGTAAAACAGATGACTGAAGTGGGAAAATCAAACGCATGAGATAGAGGGGATTTACTCTTCAAAATGAAGTTAAAAATATGAGCTCCAAACACTGTTGTAAGGCAAGAGGATGAGCTATATAACATTCCTGTTTTACTTTTGAGTAACAAAGAAAAATTATGGTTGTACTATCAGTAATTTAGTGTGTTTTGGTGTGAGAGTATCAACATCATGTAGACAGATCATACAGAACATTATACATCATACAGAAAGTTCTATGTAAAGATGCAAACATACCATGAATTTATGGCCAAAAGGGGGAAGAAAGCTTGAAAGAGATTAATTTTGATTTAAGAGTCAGCCAAAACATGCATGCATGTTAACAAGGTCTTTTATTCTCTTGATTCTTTCTGGTTTAAGGGAACCAAGACTCCACGTGTACTTTACACAAACATAAAAAACAACAACAAAAAAAAAACCAACCAAAACAACAACAAAAAAAAACACATATAACTTGGTCAGTCTCCAATACAGTTGAAAATGTCAGACAGGTGACAGAAGCAGTTTACCTGTTCCAATCAGAAAAGATAACATTTTAACCCTGGATTTTAATTTCCTGAATAAACAAGGCTATCATATGTTGCTAACTTTCCCCCTTGTAATAATGCAAAACTGCATGTATTTCATATGCGAAAGGACACTCCACCATTTTGATAAGAAGGTTCTCCAACCATTAAAAATGAGTAGGAAAGGACAATACTTTCTGCTACCTATTGGCTACATAATTTGCTGCTGTTTGGATTACAGTATAAAATGAGATGTTAACCTTAAAAACAAACAAACAAAAAACTTCCCAAGTGATTGTTATGGATGTTGAAAATGTGCTTACCCCAAATTCAGGTCAAGGCAATGTATCTCGTTCTTTTCCTAAGTACGTGATTCTTGAAAATTTGCTTTTCCCTCTTTCACTACCCATCTTCTGCACAGGGTCTCAAAGGCACCCACACTTCTGAGAAAATAGCCTCCAGTGTTGCAAGCTGGGGCCCTAAAAGCAGCACCATATGTGGACTTCTGATCCTTTAAACTTCATTTTATTAAATCACACACTAGAGACTGTAAACTTTAAAAGAAAAAGAACATTAATGTCATCAAACCAAAGGTTTTGACTAAGTTACTCTCTATCCACCGTGGCCTTGGAGGTTGAGGCCTTTTCTTTGCTTCTATTCCCTAATAGTCTGCCTGGATTGTGACTCAGTCTAGGTCCACTGAATCTCCAAGAGCTTCCCCACCTTTCTATCATTTATTTGCTCTTCACATGCCCTGCCCAGCCTGGGCATGCCCAGTGTTTCCTAAGAAAAGTGCAAACTTCCTTTCCTTAAGAAGGTTCTGCCCAACCCAGCTCAAAACAGACAGAGTAAAGTAAAAATAGACTTTTTAATGGAATGCAAAGTAGCTATGCATTAGACTGCAAAGAAATGCATGGTATGTGTACGTTCTTTGTGATGATATAGGTGAATGAAATGCCCCCTGGATGTGTCTCATCTGATTGAACCTAGGGGAAAAAAGTGGGTTTGAATTCTACATCTGTCTGCTCATGCCAGCAGTTGGAATACCTGTAACATCACTGCAAAAATTAAAAATATCATTCTTTCCACTATTAACATCTTCTTTCCTGTCATCCTGAGCAATTACAATTTCTGTGGGGAAGGTGTAAGGAGGAATTAGTGGAAGGAGTGAGTAAGGAAGAAAGGATAATGACTATGATTGGGACATTAGGACCTAAAGAGTTAATTGATTAATGGGAAGGGGTGTGGAAAATGGAAGATAAAGTCCAGGATCACTCTCAAACTGAAAGACAAATACACCTCTACCATTTTCCTCCACAGCCTTCTTCCACTGTCTATATTCTCCATTATTTCCAGGCTTATTTTAATGATAGCAACCTCTACGTTACGCCTCTACAGTTGCCCAATTACCTCTTTTATTTCAAGGATCTAAGAGATGAAGTTCAGCCTCCCTTCAGTTCTTCCCATTATTCTGAAGACATTCAGGTAACTTACAACCAGTTGATCTTACAGGTTTTGAAACAAATTCTAACAATATTGGGTTTACTTCTGTGATTCTTCTTGGCCAGTGACACTAAGTTTAGGCATGTTTACCCACAATATCTTAGAAAAAAAAAAAAAAAAAAAGGTGTTTCTATTTATATCTGTATACTCTGTAGGTCCTAATCTATAACTAAGTATAGTTTCATGGCCTCTGCTGTCACCCAGTCTGGTCAGACATTCATACTATAACACAGACTAGTTTTAATTAACCCAGGAAAAACAAAAACAAACAAACAAACAAAACCCACTCTATCATATGTCAAGTTTCAATCTGAGCTATGTACTCTACTTAGATTTAAATAATAATAATGGTAATAATGAATCTGTAATCTTCTTACCTGCCATGCTTCTCAGATGCTTAGGCTGATAAGAAGGGAATAGAACCAAAGAAAATTTGCTTATTCAGTTAATTTTCATTTTGGGTGCAGTTTCAAAGAGCATTTCAAGTTAGTGTCCAATTGCTATCACAGTCTTCCTTCCTCTTTTAGTACTTAATTCTTAAACTCTCCAAATGTCTTATACTGCCTCATACTGGAAACAAGGTACCAAGACAGATGGACTTTGTCCTTGGTTTAGTATGCTAGTTCTTACGTTTTTAGCATTCTTACACTTTGCAACTAAACAGTCTTAGGGTCAACCTAGAAATTAGAATAAGGTTTTGGTCCTTAGAGACATGAGGTTTAGGAACAGCATTCTTAGTGGGATTAGAGAAGGGCAAAAGGTAGTCCTAGCTTCAGGATGGAGCTTGTTAAATTTATGAGAAGTATTGAATGATGTGACCATATATGACATGAGGTGCAAGGCTTCCTAATCCTAGGAGCTTTCTGCTTTTCAGTGTTTCCTATACAAAACCAAACCAAAACAACAACGTCTGCTCCTTAAGAGTCCCTTTTGCACCTCTGGAAACCAGGAATAAAGCCATTTAAAGATGATGAGATGAGTGCTGGCAGTGGAGATAGCTACAATCTGTCTTTCTGTTGAGAATAAAGCAAGAAGATGTATTCATGTGATGGTAGATGTCAAGAGTCATGGAAATTACAGATTAAAAATCATTTATGTAGGAAACAGGTTTTATATCTCACAACTTCTATTCTGAAAGAGTGTCATGTTAATGCACCATCATCTAAATGCATCATGGGAGCAAAGGATCTGAGAAAGGCTGCGCACTGACGGTGACCTACATCCTGGGGCATACCAAAGCCACAGGAACGTCAGGCAGGATCTGAAGATTGGCCATTTAACTGTCAGCCACATGATCTGTAGCTGGATGGAGCGAGTACTAAAAAGCCAGTGTTTCCATTAGTATGTAGGAATTCAGACACCTCTGTGTAGAAAAACAAACAAATAAAAAAAAATATTGGTAGCACTGAAGTTTTTATTCAGATTGTAAATTGATAATGAGAAATTCCCATTAACACTACCCACTTCTCTAATTACAGACTGTCAGGAAAAGTTGTTTGTTTTTCCTTTTCTCTGGAGGAATAAAAGAGAAGCACAGATAAGAAACACAGGTTCAAAACACATGCCAAATAAATAGGAACAGAATACATCCATTGGCTGTAAACTGTCATCTCAGGGGCAGGGATTGACTCTGAGCTAAAGTGGGAGTTATAGCCTATGCACCAATGCTGGCCCTTGAAAAACAGGAATATTTTTTTTTAATCTGGGTTGGTCTTTTAACATTGTTTCAGTCTTTAAACTATTTGGGGTGCTTCTGGCCTACTCTCCTTGGCCACACCATCATAAGCCATACTAATTGTGGCCTTCAACTGAGTTTGTTCACATGCTGTCCTCTTCATTTCCCTCATTCTCATGGTTCCCCTTGGAGTGCTGGACAAAGCTACACAGAGAGATTTGGCAGCATGGAAATGTGCTTCTGGCTCTGCCTGCTGAGAAGAGGGAAACTGAAATACTGATGTGATGTGGTGTCAAGTCTGATGTGAAATTGGTGCTGAAAATCTGTTCTCTGTCTGAGAACAGACAGAGATTGTTCCATTGGTGTTGTCAGACACATAAGGAGTGGGAGCAGAGAAAAGAATCTGTTGGGGGTCTCCATGGGAGAACTTGCAAGCCTTTGAACCAATTAGTTTGGATCAGACATTTCTATGTTACTTCTGTTACATCATGTTATCGCTGGCCATGTAGGATCGGGTGGTAGCGGCATGTCTGCTGTGCCCGCTGAGCAAACAGCTGCACTGCATTCTGGTGCCATGTCTTGTGCTCTGAAGGAGCTGTCTGTGCTCCTGTGGTTGAACCAGATGGTTTTCTCAGGGCAGGGGATGTGGTTCAGACAAAGAAAAAAAAAAAGAAAAAAAAAAAAAAAAGAAAAAGAAAAAAAAAGAGAGAGAGAGAGAGAAAAGCTGCAGTAGTTAGCAAAATCCATTATTTAGCAGATCTGCTGGTGTCAGGAGTGATGGCTTACAGTTGTGAAAGGAACAATTTAACATGGGATGATTAGATCACAGGTGAAGTTCTCTGCATCTAGTCCCTCAGGCTAGAAGCTGCTCTGTTACTTTGTTAGTAATTCTTTAACCATCACTCATTTATCAATAGCTTGAGAGAGAGGCAGCAACATCTCCTTGCCCTGCCACACACTGCCTTGTCAGACTGAGATAAATGTAAATTATAGCCTGTTCTATGAGGCTAAAACTGCCCTCTAGCACTGCCCCCTAAGCCTTTATTCTCCCTCAAACTGGGATCCTTAAACTACATGAATGGACATGAAATTGCTGAAGTGACAAAGCCATGGTTCCAAACAACCTTTATATTTACCTAACAATCCGAAAATCTCACTTGTTATGTCTGCAGGTGAATGGAGCTCATGGCAGTGTGAAGACAGGATGAGTGTGATTGAGCATGCAATGAATTAGAGGAGTGCAGGAGGCACCACCAATAGCTCTTCAGTTTGATTACTAGCCCCAAGTTCTTTTCATAGCATACAACAGTAACTCCTTACCTTGCTCTAGACTAATCTTTCCTAAAACTGCTTGGTGAGAAAGCAGGGGGCTGGGGATCTGGAGATGGATAGATCTAGATATCGATCGGGGGATATAGAGATGGATGGGCTCTTCTTCGACTTTGTATCTTAGAGAATAAAAGGGCTTCAATACTCCCTATGCTATGCATTTTTTCTTCTAGTTTTATTTTGTAGTGTTTGCATGGTCACAGTTCTGATTCTAGACCATCTCAAAACAATACAGAAAAGTTAAGTCCTACTTGGATACTATCACTTTGTGGGAAACTCAGATTTTTCATTGCCCTGACACTTGTTTAGTTATTGATGAACCATCATTCTGCTCAGTTGGCTTTGGCAGTAATATGCTGGGCCAGCTGTATGAGTTCTGCTATGCTACTGTGCAGCATACGGAAACTGCTGATCTAATTGCTAATAATCAGATCCACCTAAATGCCACCCTGTAGGCATATATTTATTAATTACAAAACCAAGACTTTAATTTATATATCATATGGTAATAAAAGTATGTGGGGAGGCAAACAAAGCCAGAGTGCTGAGGAGGTTTTAAGTGGACACTTAATTTATGTAACTTGATATGCATATACTAAGCAATAATTCATGGCCAAAGCAATAATTCATGACCAAAGGTTCATTGGTCACTGATAAGTTAGATGGAACCAAAGCAAGAAGCTTTCTTCAAGATGTCCTGGAAGTCCACGCCTGAAGCAGAATTCTTTGACGATGATATTATCAGGGTAGTTCTGCTACAGCTACAAAAATAACATCACCAATTGTCATATAAACAGCCATTCTCTAAATAATTTAAACAACAGGAAAAAAAAAAAAAAGAAAAAAGAAAAGAAAACAGTAAGAAAATATGTCTGAGGAAAGATTGTTGTGCACCTTTTTCTTCTTTTTTGTTAAATGAAAAAAGAGAGAGAGGAAATGAGGAAAATGCCGTAAAACCCCAAAATAATTGGTGAGGAATTTAATTGTGACTGAAATTATTATCTTTTCCTGTAAGAGAAACATATACATGGAAAAATTTCCATCTGTTTTACCAAGAAATGCTGCAACTTGTCTGTTGAGCTAATTATTGATTCTGAGATAGCTGAGCAAAAAAATATAACAAGCTTTTCTTCTTCATTTCAAAAGATTAATCATCTTTAGGATGTGATTTCCCCCCTTCATGGCATAGGAGGAAGACAGTGATAGTGATTAATATATTGTCATAGGATTTAAATGCTCTTCCAATATATGTTTTCCTCAGAGTTTTTCTGAATGCTGACAATCCACAGATTGCTTGAAATATTAAAATAATGTACGTTTACAATCTGCTAAGTGTAAAACATGAGAAAAAATAGAATATAAACATATTTGTTTGTATAATAAAAATATTGCACCAAATTACAACCAAATTCAGAAAGTCTTTTAGTCACAGTAGGTAAAAGTATTAGTTTTCTTACGTTCACCCAGCAGCAAAATGCTATATATATGATCTCTTTCTCTCTCTTAAAGATCTTTCATCTTGTGTCGCAACACTGTGTATTCTTTTTTAATACTTCACGCTCCTGCTGGTGTTTATATTAATCTTTCCACTGTTATCAACTTTACTGACATTGTTTAAATAGTAGAAGATCAGCGCAGTTAGTGGTAGTGTTCCTTAAAGTCATTGAATTTGCTTGCTTCTCTTTTCTGTTCAGGGTTGTCAGCTGTAATCTAGCAAAGTCTGTAGGTCATTGCTGGAGAGCTTCAGGAGGTAGGGCTCTTCTCACAGACTTGTGTTTTATTTTTGACTGTCAAGAGTTAAGGCTAAGGAACTCTGCAAAAGGAGAAGGGAGTAGAGAAAGGAAAAGAATGGATATTGGGGAGTTGCCTTTTCTGGTAAGAGGGATTAATAAAGTTAAACCTCTTGTAGAGTCTCCCTAGACAAAAGGGATTTACCCACATTATGCCACATGTATTCCACCCCTCCTTTCTTGTGGTAGATATATGGAAACTATTTATAGACAATATAGACAACACTACACTTCAAAAAAACATTGGAATAGGAAGGGAGAGATTTTTGGCAGGTCTAGCAGGCACCTTTCAGCCTACAACAGAGGGGTAATGTTTAGAATTGGAACAAAAAACATTCCTTGTGGGTTGTGCCTGTCTATCACATGGCCATAGAGTAACCTTGTCGTGATTCTTCAGTACCTGTCACTAAGACACGCAGAATTTTTCTGTACTTCAGCAGTGAGAGGTGTAAATTGCTAAGGACTGTGTGGAGACACTGTATTTTGTGGGATTAAACTGCACATATACAGCCAAAATAATCTTGCCCCTTCAAAATTCAATTTAAAAAGTCTTCCATGCATGATACAGAGAAAGTAATTGCTTGAAAATAGTTAATCAGGAGAACATATTTTAATAAAAGTGAGACAAAATACTTGTGGCATTTTTTTCTTCCTCACAACCCGCAGGCAATGTGCAAGTAGTACACAACAGATTATTTTACTACTAGCATACTAAGAATTATTTAAGCAATAGAGTACAACAGTGAATGCTCCATCAAAGTTGGTTTAATTGGTGCTAGAACAGGGATCTTTTAACTATTTTGTAGAGTAGGTTGAAGTTTAATAGAGAGTATATGCTATTGTGACTTCCTTTTCCTTACTATTAAGCTATTACTTTTCTCTCAGAAAGTTCTTGGGGCATGATTTGAGGCTACTGTATTAGGATATTTAGGTGTATTAGTCATAGTAGATCCTCTAAGAATTGAAATAAAAAAGTTAATATTCAGTTACAGAGAGTAGGGAATACCAGAGCTGGTTTGTTCTGTTATTTCTCATTTTGTTCATTTGTTTCTCTGTTGTCTATTTGGTTCCTTTCTTTCCTTCCTAGAAGAAGAAATATAGAAATATCTTTTTTTGTTCTTGCTCCATACAGACTGTAGGTACAGTGAGAAGAAGTGCAGTAATTCTGTCACAGAGTTGAAGACAGAAAGTCTTCAAAGCTGAAAATCTGTTTCAGAGCTTTCCCTAAAAATATAAAAATGCAAACTGCAAATACGGCATATTTCTCAGTGAACTATTAGGCAACTTTAGGCCACTTTTTTTTTTTTTTTCTTTAATCAGGAATATGCAGAACTTGGTCTTGATCAGTGTGTCATTGCTAAAGACTCCTTTGAATTCTGCAGAAATACTCCTTTGTATAGACTTGAGCTATTTGATATTATCCAGATTGGTTTGAGCAGCAGAAAATTTGGACCTTACTACAAACAGACCACTGCTCTTCGTGTGGCTATACTAGCAAAAGAATTCTGCATCTTTTATCATGCCAGACATGGAAAAGGAGTAGCAGAGCTGCTGCAGGACTTGGGGTGCCTAGGCAGTTTGTTAGAAGAGGATTACTTTCAAGCTGCTTTTTCTCCCCACAGGCCATTGATTGGGACGGTCCACCCAGCACGTGCTACATGTGCTTTGTGGTCCTCTTACCAGAGAACAACTTGCAGCAGGATGCAGGAGGGAAGGATTGACCTGGAAATGCCATCCCCCTGCTTGGCTGATGTCTTTGTGAGTCCCTCAAGTCTCTTTCCCTTCACCTGTTCTTCAGGACTCTAGATTTACTAAACATTTGCTGAATGCAAGATTAATATCTGTTCTGTCCCTTAAAAGAGCAAAAGATCTGCTTCATGGTTTACCATGCGCACACCCAGGTAACTCTCCTGGAAGCAAAAAAAAATGTAAACTGTCTCCCTGAGCAGGATGAGTGGATATAGGATGTCTACAGCCAGAATAAAAATGTCTCCAGAGCTCACAGTTTCAAAGAAAGCCTGAAGGTGTCTATGACAATTAAGAAATAGTATAACATAGGCATTAATCTGAGTTAACAGTCCTTAAAATTGCGAAGTAATTACTTCACAACTGTGCCTTTTGTGTTTGTTTGTTTGATTTGTTTTCTTAGCATGCAATAAGCAATATGCAAACTTGCTAACATCATTTGAAGGAGACTGTAGATCTTGAAATTTGTAGCGAAAAAAATTATTAATAAACATTAATCATCACTACAAGAGATGACACATTTTACTTGTTCACATAGAATATCATGTGTATGTGTCTATAGAAGTGTTGCAATTCTTTATATGCTTTCTGCCTTTGAAATGACATTAAATGATATGGTAGCATACAGATGATAAGTTATCCAAAATAAAGTAAATGCATACCAACATGCTCAAAACTCTGAGAAAAAAAAAAAAAAAAAAAAAAAAAAAAAGAAACATCATAGGTAAGTCATAGGTTAATTTGATAGAACATCTTTCCAAACTTTTAATTGCATTTGTAATCTGTTTATACCTTTGGTATAATGTTTACTCAAGCAACTAAGACTGAGGGGCACCTCTAAGCAATAAACAAAAGCAAAATAGTAATGCTGATTTAATAAGTGTGGGAAGTTTTAAGCTTTTTGTTTTGTTTTGTTTTCCTTTTTTGGTCTGCTCCTCACCTCTGTCTAGGAACCCAACAACGATGTGCTGTTTCTGAAGGAATGGTAATAGTGCAGGCTTGATCTGGTACTTAATAAAGAGAAATTAATTTTAAAATTTGCTGGCCTGTGAGATAATTACAGGAACATGTATGTGTCAGTCCGCTAGTCCTGTGCTAACACTTTTTCTGTGGCATCACCAATCTTTACTTTTCCCTCACAGATATATCTCTAATTTTTGATTTTTCAGTGTTATATCAAAATTAGTTCAGTAAAAGATTCCTGCTGGGTCTAGATTGCTTGCACTATGCTCTTGTGATTTGACATAAACAGACATTCAGGACTGAATAGATACCTTGCCAGCACTGCAGGCTTACACTCTGCCTACAACAATTTCAGCAAGGGCTGAATTACTCTTTCTTTAAGCACGCCTGCTTTCTCTTTCATGTGTTACCGACAATCTACTAAGAAAGAAAATTGCAGCCAAAAATCATAGCAATTCAGGTTGCCACAGGACAGAGAGAGCAACCATACAAAACTTTAATTATCACAGTACGTGGAAGAAAAATTTACCCAAATTCCCCTTAAACTGAAGACCAGTGTCTTGTACAACGTTACTTCTGGGCTAATGCTGAAATGAGCTTTGGAAAGTAAATCAATGAATAAAGGCTTAATACACTAGATTTATGTGTGCTGTCAGTTTCTAGGCAATATAATTATTGTCAGTTTTCTGCCTCTAGCTACTCCTTTAGCTTCTGGGAATAATGAGAGAATGCGTTCAGCCATGTGACATTTTTTCCTTTGCAGAACCAACCACTGTTTCCCCCTTGGCGAAATGTGTGTTTTAAACAACTCTTGTACATTCTTGCTTGAGAATTTTGTAAAATACCATGTGACAAAAAATAATAATAATAATAATAATTTGACAATATTGTAGCTGAATCGGCTTTCCATATCACATAGCTGAAAAATCAATGTCAAGCTGGATCCGTGGAAGCACGCTGGCTTAAATAAACTGGAAGTCAAAAGATGCAATGCTTCAGATTCAGAGAAAGCTGCAGAGTGACTGTACAATAGATAAATTAGATTCATGAAGGCAATGCACTGCATAGTCAATCCCTTCTGAAAATTTCTTATTGGAGACTTTCTTGCTTTCTTCTCTTTCTTGCTTGTTGTTCTCTCTTGACCCTGTGAGCCCAGAATGATGCGAGATGCTGCAGTTCAGCTGTCCCCAGCTCAGCCTTACATCAGGCTCAGAGTGGTTTGCTGTAAAGCCTATAGGTCAGCAGTAGTTTAGTGCTTACCCACTTCAGAGAAGTAAGGTGTTTTGCTGGTTGGAAGTTCTGCTATTGATCAGGAGAACAGCCATTTCACAAACAATCTTTTTCATGCTTCTTTTAAGTTAAACTACAGTGGGGATTGGTCTTGTTTTGTAATTCTGTGGTTCTGTGAGAAACGACTGATTAAAGCCATGGCACTGTAATTTGAATGTGCAAAGTCATAGAGGTTAAAGCAGTGCATAGCTTTCTGTACTATGTTTATGTTGTCATCTCTTCCTTACGGGGCCATGAACTTTGCATCAAAATACTCACAGAGGTGTATTTGTAACCAATAATGTGTGTTTGCTTTAGAAATAACATTCTGGCATGCCTGCTATGCTAATTTCCAGTTAGAAGGGAGAAGAGATGCATCTTTTGCAGTCTGGGGTTTACCGATCAAGGGATGTGATCAGTAATGCCCGAGGTCAGACTAACTGATGTTAGCTAATGATCTGCCCATTTCATGGGGATGGAAGGGATAAAATACCTTGTGCAAAACAACAGGAAAATTACTGGTCATCTATAAGAACCTTAGCTGAGAGTTTTCTTTTTACCTAGGTTCCCTTTTGTATGTAAAAAAGATTGATTTGACCCCATACTTCTGCTAAGATGCAACTTTTTTTTTTTTTTTTTACTTTGGGTTAATTGACATTACAAAGTAAGAATGTGATGAATTATTTTTTTTTTTTAAGAAATGAGAATATCTTAAAAATTTATTTCAAAATTAGTAAGAAAATAGATTATACGTCATTAAGATTTAAAAAAATAATTGTAAATTTATGAAAAATTATAATAATGAAGGGCTAAAACATAGGAATTTGCTCATATTTTCTCCATTGTTTTAATAAGACTTGACTAGAAATTAAAAGTTAGGTCAAAATCAGGCAAAGTATCCCAAAAACTTATTTAATATTTCATGTTATCATTCTATAGAATAAACGTGCACAGAATTATGCAGGTTATATTATTTTAACCATAAAGCTTTTATGTTTTACAGACTAAACAGACAAAGAAGTTGTTTTAATTATGGTATTCCTGTAATGCAGTCACATCCAAATGGTGCAAACACAGCTCCCAAAAGCTCTGACAGCTTAACACATGTCATGCAGAAGTAGTGTGGTGGGGTACCTTGTTTTGCAGAGGTGTTTCATGTGTCAGTGGGTTACAGCGCCAGAGTTTCACCCGGGTCCTTAATTCTATTTCAGGTCTCAAGTGGAAATGGAGAAGGGTTTGACTGAAGACAGCACCTATTTCTGTATATCACAAAGTTATCGGAATCATTAATAGGATTTCTTTTCCTTGGTAAAAGGCTGTGTTAAAGCAGGATTAAAATGTGATATATGGAGTTATTTTAAGATATTTGCGCAGTAGTTTCTAAAGCTGTTATTAGACATAATAGGATTAATAATAAAAGGATAAGCTTCATTTTGTCAGCCACACAAGGTAAAGCTTAGTTTTACATATTTTCATGAGAACTACACAAATGTTTCAAGGGGCTATAATGCACCATTTAGAAGGCTACTGTAATAAGTACTGAGTGTACAGTAGCAAAGCTTAAAAGATAGCTCACCTGTACAGAAATTAGCTGGGGAATTGTGTGGACTTATTTATCTCCATAGGTTGTCTGCATGGGAAGAATGTTTTTAGAAGAAAAGGAAAAATAAGTTTAAAGAACATTAAACATTCAAAATATATTTCTTAATATAAAATATATTGAATATATATATATATTAAAGGAACATAGGAAAACTGAGAATGGGATGCCTTTTGAAGAGTGTTGGTAGTTAACTCCAACATGAAATTTTTCTTGCAGGCATTTTCACATATTGTGCTTATTTACAGCTGCTTTGTCAGGCTTTCAATTAACATACAAATTCAAGTAGATGCTTAAACTACTGTAAAAAAAATCTTATTAAATTTGAACAAATTCAGGCTTATATTTAGGACCTGTTCTCCACAGTGGTACTTCAATAAGGTCTGGAGTATTCTGGTTTGTATGCATTACAAAGGCCATGATTTCATGTTAGAAAATGTTGGCACCAGTACCCGCATAAGATATTTCCATTTTTCATGACTCACTCCTACGCAACATGTGCCTTTGCTACAGATATGGCAAAACAACAATTTGTGGGCCCTATCTAGCTTTAAAGTCTCTTGTTCCATCTCCTTCAGGCTGCACCAGTCTCTGGATGTGGTTCTGCACATGGCCCAGAGAAGGTGGTGGTGATCAAACTGAGATAGCCCACACCCAGTGTGCAGGACAAGGGTATTTTGTATAATTTTTGCAGCTCTTCTTTGTGAAAAAGTTACAACAGGAGTTATAAGAGTTGGAAGAACTGCTTTTCATGGTACATCAGAACAAAGCTACTCAGTGAATTCTTACCACAATCGGCAGAATACTTCTACGCAGTTGTCACCAGCTATGCATTGTTTTTTTGGAGCAGTGGTGGAGATAGTGCTCACCTGTATCTCAAGAGACAAGGGACGTGAAAATACAGGCGCTCTCACTGAAACTGAACATTTCTTTGCAGTTTAGATTCACATTGGAATAGCCTTGTGTTAAATTGCTTCAAATATCTTCAATAGCTAGTGTTTGAGGGTGGCTGCTTGAAGCAAGAGATGACAGAAATGCTATTGGCAAACAAAGGTTGATCAAGGCAGAGAATAAACTGGGCTTTGGTCACAAACAAGCAGTCATCTACACTTTTCTCCTTAATTCCCCCAGCAGCTGAATAATCCTATGATATGACTGTTGACCTTCCTTTTTTCCCCCCTGTCTTTTAACATTTAAAATACTTAAGTGCTGTAACTGTGGGAGAAAACACCTCCAAACTTGACTGTGAGTTGAGATAAAGTAAAATGGGGCTGAGAAATGCGAATTGCCATGTGTCCCAGCAAGCTCCAGCTGGATTGAGTGCACCGATCTGCTGGACGTGCTTCAGGTGCAGCTGGATCACAGCACTGAGGATTTAACTTCTGCCTGCTTTGAACGTGTTATCAGAAATGGTAGAAGATTAAAGTAGCTGAATGGGTCCTTTTGTTCAGATTACGAAACCCACAACAGCAATTTATAGTAAGCCAAAAGCCAGACAAACATTTGGGCTCTTGTCTGATGTAGGTGAAACCTAGACGGGTTTTTATTTCCCACTTTTCCAGTGAAACTATTTCCCATTTCCTATACAGATTTCACTGGGAAAGTGGGAAATACTGAGGTGTATAATATGGAATTAGCTGGGAAGCAGCTGTAAACTTTCAAGCTAATTAAAACAGTAAGTTCTTTAAATATCTGATAATATAGTTTTCAATTAAGTTTTTATGTCACATTAAGTTAGTAAAAAATAACTTGAAAGTTGCAAAATTCATTAAACATTTTTCAGCCTCTTAAATATTTTTGCTATTGCTGTTAACTCAAGAAGATATTGAATAGAAATGCAAGTATTTTAGACTCTGAAAAGAAATTCATAGCCTGATGTA